GTGTGTGTGTGTGTGTGTGTGTGTGTGTGTGTGTGTGTGTGTGTGTGTGTGTGTGTGTGTGTAATCATCTTAATGTGTTTTCCCTGTAGGAGGCAGAATGTGGCTTTGTGATGATGCTGATGGCGATATACTGGGTGACGGAGGTGATTCCACTGTCCATGACCGCCATGCTCCCCGCCATTCTCTTCCCCCTCTTTGGCATCATGTCGTCCTCCAATGTGAGTCCTTCTGTTAGCAATCACAGTTACACAGGACAAAGTGTTGATGCGTTGAGAGTTGTTATTCTTTATGAATGCACAGCAGCAGATGTGTTGCTCTGGTTCTGGTTCTGCCTTCAGGTGAGTGTCAACATTTGACACTCACCTGAAGTTTTCAGCATATTCCTGCTTCTTTTCCAATTTGCTTGTCCCTCGTGTGATCTTAAAAATCCTAAAACGGCCCTCTTCTTCCATCCATCCATCCATATGCGATAGATGGATGGATGTTCCCAGGCAAGCTGAGCAACATCATCTCTCCAGTGTGGCCTGGGCCTGCCCTAGGGCCTCCTTCCGGTGCTACACGCCCAGAACACCTCACCCAGTAGGGGCCCAGGATGCATTCTAATCAGAGGCCCGAGCCACCTCAAGTAGCTCCTTTTGAGATGGAGGACTAGGAGTTTTACTCTGAACCCCTCTCAAATGACTGAACTCCTCACCCTATCTCTAAGGGAGATGCCAACCACTCTTTGGAGAAAGTAAATTTTGCCGTTTGTATCCACAGTCTTCTTTGTTTGGTCACTATCCAGAACTTGTGACCATAGGTAGCTTGTGTACTCACCTCTCTCCTTAATATGAATGACCAGTACAGCATCTGCATCACTACAGACAGTCCCTCAATCTCTCACTCCCCTCTCGCCCCACTCATTAACAAGACCCTGTGATAGTTAAACTCTTCCACCTGGGGCAGCAAGTCACCCCTAATCCGGAGTGAGCACGCCACCCTTTTTGGATTCTCATTTCTGCCACTTGGCTGCAAACTGGTCCAGTGCTCCAGTGTGAGCTGGAGGCCACCAACTGATGAAGCCAGCAGAGCCACGTCATCTTCGGTCTGCCAATCCCAGTTCTCCATCCAATGTTCCAAGGTATGTCAACCAAGAGAGCTCTACAACATCTGAAGCTTTTAGGAACACAGAGTGAATCTCATCCACCTCAGAAGCCTCTAAAACAAGCCAGTGTGTCTCAACCTCATGCACTATGTCAGGCTCCTTCATCACCAGAGAGGTCATGTTCCATGTCCCCATACCCAACCTCGAAAGCCAACGATCAGACTGCAAGGGTCTCCACCCCTGACTGATGCCTGACACACATTGCAAGTGACCAGCATGGCACCTCCTGCGTCTACAGCAGAGCAGGCCTTGTTCTTATTTGCAAATAAATGTTTTTATTCTTGGACACTTGGACTCTTCTTTATGCTCATCCAATTATTATCTTTTTAAAGTTGTATTTTTAATTGGTTTATCTGTTACTTGTTAACTCCCTGTATAACATATTCATTGGAGACAAACTCAAATTTGAAAATGGCCTTAAATTTTTACTCCTCTTCCTCAATTACTCTATAGCAGCTCTCTGTTCTAAAATCCCTTTTCTCCTCTAGGTGGCAAAGGAGTATTTTAATAACTTCCACTTCCTGCTTGTGGGTGTTGTCTGCCTCGCCACGTCCATCGAGAAGTGGGGCCTCCACCGCAGAGTCGCCCTGAGGCTCGTCACCTTGGTGGGGGTCAACCCTGCTTGGTGAGCATCTTCGTTCTCTGCTGTTGGATTCAAATTTTGTATTTCTTCGAGATTTAAGTGTGAAGGCTCCTTTGT